ACCGCCGCCGGGGCAGCGCAGGCGCGCGGCCGCTGGCCTCTTGGAGCCGGGGCGCCGGCTAGCCGCGGGCTTCATTCATTCTCTATCGATCAGTTCATCCTGCAGGTATATCGATCGAGCGCTTCTGGGTACCAGAGGCCGGCGCCACAGATAGCACAAGTCTGATCCTTAACGTCCATAGGACCAGAGGGGTGGGGGACCGGCCACTAACAAGTAAATACATATCCTGCTTGTGCCCCGTGGTGTGTGCACACAACAGCCTGGGCGGTGCGCCCCAGTAACCCGCGCACAGGCTTGCGCCATGTTATTCTCACCATAGGAGGAACTGAGGTCTTGGGGCGATCAAGCAGGGGAGAGGGGTCTGGAGCACTGAGCGAGGAGTTTCCGCTTAACTAGCGTTGTGGGGAAGACCCCTTGAAGGAGGAGGACTTGGCGGTCACTGGGTGGGGGGAGGGGCAGTTTCCTGGCTGAGGAAACAGCAGGTGAAAGGCCCTGAGGCTGGAGAGAGAAGGGGGTGGGGTGCAAGAGGTCAGAGAAGGCAGAAGTAGCAGCTCAAGGGGCCTGGGCCCACTGAAGACTTTGCCTTGAACTGGGGTAACCTGAGATCACTGGAAGGTTTTTTGAGCAGACGAGAGCTGCATTCTGATCCCTCCTGCTGCCAGTTAAGAACATCTTCCAGGAAGCAAAAATATAAGCAGCGGACCTTCCCCTATTCCGCCTCATCACTTTTTCTGACAAACCAATCAGCAACCCCCCTCATACATCTTTTGCAGTCATTGAGCTGTAGGGCGCACCCACGTAATCATAAATGGCACCCACCTCCTAGTCACCACAGAGATTCTAGCTTAAAACACGTGCCTGCTCCAAAAACACAGTTTCAGAACACCCCCTTCCTGGACCTCCACCTTGCTGGGGCAGTTTTGGGTAAGTTTTGTTCTTCGTGAAGGTGTGAGTCACCCCCTATGCCCAGAAGGAGATTCATCTCTGATGGGTTCATTCTGCTGGTGCCTTTTAACAGTAGAATGCAAACTTCACAGGAGTAAAATGCTCGTTGTGGAATTGGTTCACCACAGGGTCTCCAATGCCTGACCCAGAGCAGGAACTCAAGAAACACCCACCGGTTCGTGAGCTCCTTCAGGATTGCACAGTGAGAGCCTGCTGTGGTCAAGGCTCAGTGGGGGACAGTGTGAGTCCAGCTGTCACAGGACACAGACACCCAGACTATGCCAGCAGGTTGACCAGCTCTCAAGGCTCAGGGATGGGGTTAGACTCATATGCCTGACGGCCACCTGAACACCCTTCATACTTACAGCTGGCCCATCCATGACACAGCACCTGCAGGGAAACCCAAGGGAGAGGTTGTTTCAATACAAACAACTGGGCACTATGTCCTCACCCCCAGACACACATGTGTCTTAGGAAGTGCCCTTTCCCCCTGCGTTGCTGCCCCATATCTTTCACAGGATCAAAACAGGGAGAGAGTGATTAAGAACATGCTCCCCTATGGTGATGGCACACAGGTGACTCGGTGATGGGAAACCCATGGGGATTTCAATTGAGATGAAAAAAAAAATGTACACAATGACGTAAAATAAACTATTATCTTATTTTTAAAAAAGAACATGCTCCCCGTTAAAAATGGGAACAAAGCTGGGGTCATTCTTAATCAAGAAGATAGTGAATAAACAGTAACTGTCCTCAGGGCTTAAGCAACTGGGAGCTGGGTGTCATCATTTTCTGCCAAAAGCTGAAACCACCACAAAGTTCACAGTTCACTCCCTAATGCTTTGCTTGGATGGGCTTCTTCTTTTTTTTTTTGCTTTGATGTGTTCATCACCCACATGGCATGACTTCCCAGCCATCAGTACTAACCGGGACCCCTCCACCATAGCTCCAGTGACTCAGGGAGGAGAATAGCAGAGAGCCCACCCAAAGGAAGTGAAGCCCCCAGTGTGGATCTCTGGGAAGAACATTCCAGGCAGCAGGCTTAGAAAGTGCAAAGGACCTGAGGCAGCTTGGCACAGACAAATAGTAGCAGCCATGTAGGGCCTGGGAACCTACTGGATAAGTGCTTGGATTTTATTCAAAGTGTGGTGAAAAGCCATCTGGAAAGGTTTTGTGATATGCATTTTGAAAGGACTGTTCTAGGTGCCTTGAGGGAGGGTAATGTGGGGGAGAGGCTGGGCTCAGGAATGGGATGGAGCACAAATGCAGTTATAGAAACATTGTGAACTCCGAGATGGGCTATCGGGATGGCTTGGACTGGGGTAGAAAGGTGGTGGGCCCTATAAGTATCTAAACCTGCTGTGACTTTAGAAGGTAACCCAAGAGAATATGTTGCTGCATTAGATAGGCAGCCAGAACCAGAGGGGAACAAGTGTTAGCAGAAAACCAATTTTCTCCAAGTCATAACCAGTGGAGGCAGAAGTCAGCCCAAAGAGAAAGGGGAGAAGAGCTGAAGGATCTTTCTCCATCGCCAGCGGCTCCTGGCTCTATCCGGCGCACAGCAGAAAGGTCACTGAAGGCCAAGCTCCCTGAGTTTATGGGGCCAAAGGGTTGCTTGAAAAGTTCTCTGGTTTCCATGATGTGGTTGCCTCAACCATCCCCGTGCTCCTAAAGGGCTGTGAAAATTGGGTGCATGCCAGATGCACCCGAAGTGATTCCCAGAGTTCAACTCCCCACCTCCTCTCCTGGCCTGAGAAGTAGAGATGTGGCCATGTCCCAACCTCCTCAATAGGGCTGGTGACAAGTGAGCACGCCCAGTGGAAGCCTGGCAGCTGGGGGAGCACGCGCCCCAGAAGTGCCTGCTCTACGCTGCCAGGTCAGCTGCAGGTCTTCCAAGCGGCCAGATTGCAGGCAGACTCAAAGTAGAGCCTGGTGGGAGAAGAGAAAGGAAGGCAAAGCTGTGGTTAGCACATGCTGTTAGTTCGGGCAGGGCACCAGTTCCTCCATGAGACGTCCCAGTGTGAATCTAGGCTCCTGAGACCCTGGTCCTGTCCTAATCTGCAGGTGACAGGGACAGGTGTGTGTAGATCATTCTTCATACTGCACACGCTACATTGTGTTTCCTATGCTTCACGCATCCTGAGACTCAAAAACATAATTAAAGCAGAGTCCCCAAATTGTGATGGCGGGAGCAACTGTTTTCTTCAAGTCTGGATGAAAAAACTGAGGACAAACTAAAAGTCCACGTGTCAGAGAATGTCTAATTTGTGACCCCGTGGGTGGAATTTAAGGGGAAATAAGCAACCATAAGTCAGGACAAAACCAAACACCGGATGTTGTGTAGAAGATAAAGAAGCAAACCAAAAGAATAGATAGAACTGAGCCCAGAGAAATGCTTGAAATCTGGCTACATTGCTGAGGCTCCCAGGACAGGGGAGGCACAGGAAAGCAGGACCAACGACTCGGGTGAGGTGACAACGCACATTTGAAAGCAATCTAGAAGTCCAGCTCTGTACCCCTAAATTATACACAGTATTTTAAGCCAGTGTCACCTCAATGAAAATCATTGAATTTAAAAATTTTAATTAACTTCAATAACAAAAAATTCTAAATTCTAAAACAAATTTCAAAAAATGTCTAGTGTGCCATCTATATTTTTTCTGCACAGACCCACATGTGTCAGGAAAGATGATGACCCAACCCGCCGCTGAGGTTGAGACCAGATCATCCTGGATGACCCACGGAGACTGCATCTAAGGACCAGGTCCTGGGCCTCCCTGTTGACCTAGGGGGTTAGGCTCAGCCCTATCAAGCTGGCACCATGGTAGCCTGAGTTCAATCCCCTGCCAGGAGGACCCACAGGATGCAGCAGACCTCTCCTGATCCACCTGCTACTCCACTCAGCAGTGTATTTCAGTCCATCTGCCTGTTCTGCTCCCCACTCTGTCTCTGATGAATCCTCTTACCCCTCGCACCTGTGGCCTGCACCCCCGTTCTTCTATGCAAAAATAAAATCTTTAACAATAATTTTAAGGGCCAGCAATCTAGGGAGAAACCCAGGAGAGCCACCTCATGAAGGGTGAGGTTGGAAGAGGAGGGCAGAGCCACACAGCCACATGCCAGGGACCCCAGGCGCCACCAGAAGCTGGAAGGGGAAAGGACAGAACCTCCCAGAAAGACCACCAAACCTAGCTCTGTTCACGACGCCCTCCGGAACCATGACACGATGAATTTCCACTGTCTTAAGTCACCAGGTATATGGCAATTAGTTACAAAACTCTGGGAAGCAATACTGGTATTCACTAAGTTCACAGTGGTTATCTCAGAGAGGGAGGCCCAGGCAGGGGCAGGGGTTGTCCAAGAAGGCCTGCCGAGTTCCCACTTTATGCTGGGGAGTGGGCCCCCGCTTGCCTGGAAGTGTTGAGATTCACTCTGATTCCCCTTCACCATCTGCCTCCCCTTAGCATGTTGGCTTCATGAGAGCGGGCCTTTGCCAGTGCTGCCCAGCCCTGGACCTCACCCCCAGCAGAGCCTGGAGGTCAGGATGCTCCAGAAAGTCCTCTGGAATCAACAGTGAGGAGCACGATTTGTGTAAATGCTTAATGTTTTCCAAATTGTTGCTATTGGGGATGTGTCATGTCCCCCCAATTTAGTGAGGAGCAGAACTGAGCATCAGGTGAAGCTACGTAACATAGCAGGCAG